TCCCGTTTTCCAGGTGGTGGGAATGGCGCCTCCGTCCAGATGGGAAGAGGCCAAGCGCGCAGCCTCCTGCCACGCCCGCCAGCCCTTCTTCTGCCAGGCTGGAGGTGCCCGCCTGCCTGCCGGCCAGGTGGCGAGGGGCCCGCTTCTCTCCTCCCCGCTGCTGCCTCGGATCCGCTCCCTGCTTTCTACTGGGAAGGCTCCCTGGGAAGGCTTGAACTTGGGACCCCAGCGGTTCTTGGACTACACCTCCCAGAAGCCTTCACCTGCCCCCTTCCTAAAACAGCAGCCTGGGGCCAACATCTCTGGGCTCAGTCCCGGAGCACAGTTGAGCTCTCAAGGGTGAGAAGGAGCACGGAGACAGGCAGGCGGCGCCTTGTGAGTCAGAAGGCCTTCTCCAGCATGCTTGTTGTGGTGGAGAGAAACTCTGTGTACGCTCAGAGACTCGGTTACCGTTCTCGCAGATTCCTTCCCGGAGCTGACCTCTGGCCATGCCCTGGATCCAAGCCCAGTGAAAAACAGTTAGGGAGCCTAATTCAGCAGGAGCTGGAGGCCAAGGGGCTGGCTGTGGGGGGGGGTACTCAGGTCTATGGGGCAATCTCTCCCATAGGGCCTCCGTGGGGGGGGTTATGGTGGGGTGTCCCTCCCCTGCAGGCAAAAATGTCATCTGCTTCTGCAGATGCTGAGGCTGAAACCCCAGAAGGAGTTTTTTTTTGGGGGGGAGCTAGAATCTGCTCTCTTCTCCCAGCCCCCCCCAAAAAGATCCTGTGAGAGGAGAGGGAGGAAAGAGGAGCCTGGACAGTGTGGGGGTGCGTTGCAGGGGGGGCAGGTGGTAGTGAAAGCACACTTCGTGGCCTGGACGGAGGGCCAGCCCTGGGAAGAAAGCATTTCTCAGCACATGTGGGGACCGGCAAGAGAGCGGGAGAAGCTTTCCCTCCGTCTGATCATAATCCTAGAATCCAGTGGGGTCCTCCGAGAGGGAGGAAAGAGGAGCCTGGACAGTGTGGGGGTGCGTTGCAGGGGGGGCAGGTGGTAGTGAAAGCACACTTCGTGGCCTGGACGGAGGGCCAGCCCTGGGAAGAAAGCATTTCTCAGCACATGTGGGGACCGGCAAGAGAGCGGGAGAAGCTTTCCCTCCGTCTGATCATAATCCTAGAATCCAGTGGGGTCCTCCGTTGAGGCTCAAGGGCGGGCGAGTCTGGAGGCCTGAAAAGAAGCTTTTGTTCACCCTGTGCGGGTCTGGACGGTGGGATTCACTGCCCCAGGAGGCAGCCAACTCGGCTGGCTTTGTGAGGGACAAGGGGCTACAGAAGCCCAGGCCAGGAGTCGTCCAGGTGGCTCGAGCCCCCCCCCCCAGTGGATCCCCTGGTTTGGTTTGGAGAGCAGTTTGGGACTTTTGAGCACATCCTTATTCCCCATCCAGTCTGGGTCCGCTTAGCTCTGGAATGGAATCTAGTTGTTTTGTCTGAGCCTGAAGCTTGTACAAATCGACCCGAATCAGGCTGATTTGGTGGCCTTTTGAGATTTGTCTGTCATTCAGCTTTAGTGCCCACCAATCACTTCCAAAATCGAAGTCAGCGTGCCACCGTATATCAGCTGATGGGAAGCATGCTCTCTCTCTCTCTCTCCTCTCTCTCTCTCTCTCTGTGTATGCTGAGTTTATTTTGCTGGTGGGGAACACAGTCCAGGGTTAGATGGAAAAGTCCTGGGGCTTAATCCTGCCTTGGGACTTCTCTTCTGCGCAATGCCTTTCCTTCCCTTCTTATAGGGAAGCCAGTGGCCATCCTATAGAGCTAGGGAAGAGGTGGGGCAGGGCCCTCCGGCTGCGGGGCCAGATTTCAGAGACCAGTCTGAGCTGGGGCCTCTGACTTATTCGGAGCAGGTCGCACACACAAAAGGGTGTGAGAAAGCAGAGTCAGTGTCTGGGAACCTGGAGGGGTGGGGAGGCCAGGAAGCGGGGGGTGATACAACCTTTCAAATACATGGGATCCCAAAAAGACATGAACTAGAAGCCAGGGATGTGAGAAGTGTTTTGGGGGGAGAGCAAGACCTTCTGCTGCCTGTGTCAAAGGGAAAGGTGGGAGCCCCCCCCCAGCCCCTTCTGTGTCTCCCTCCACCCTGGCACCACCCTATCTGCTTTTAGCCCTGGTGCAGGAATGACATTCCCCACTGACGCAGGGAAGCCAGTATCCCTGGCCCAAGGGCCGTCCACAAAGCATCCATCGTTCTGCCTGCCACCCTCCATCCTCTGCTGCCTGAGGGAGCCATCTCACTCCATCCACCCCGTTCCAGAAAGCAGCTGGGTCTGAAGCTTCCATGGACCCCCCCCCTCCCCGAGTGCCAGGAGGAGCCTAAAACCCCAGAGAGAAAGAAGGTGGCCAGAGAGGCCCATTCGAAGAAAGGCAGGAAGACCTTGGTCTGGAAGATGTTGGCAAGCCTATGGACTCTCCTTGAGGCTGAGCACCTCTTTACTGAGCCCTCCGCTGGGCAGGAGGTGGCCTTCGAGAGCCCCCTGGGTGCCCTGCGGTGCCGTTTGCCTCCTAGCAGGGGTGGCGGTGGAAGGGGGGCTGTCAAGCTAAGAGGTGGGCAGGGGGAAAGGCCCGGCAGCCTGTCCTCTCTCTGTCCTGCTGCCCTCTGGAAAAAAGTCATTCTGGGAGAAGGGCACCATGGCCTGCCGGAACTGTTGGCGACATCAGGTGAGGCCGGGGAAGGCAACCCACTGCCCCCTCCCGACTGTCCCACTGCAGTGGCTGCTTTGGTCTTCTTCTCCCTCCCCTCCCCTCTCCTCCCTCATTGAATCCCACCCCGCCCCTCCTCCTTTTCCACCAATGGGATGGCAGCTGCAGAGCCATCCCAGGGGGAGTAAGGGAAAAGGGGTGAGTGGCCCTCCCCTCCCCCCAGAAGCCTAAATTCATTAATTTTATTAAATGGACGCAGACTCCGGGGTGTCTGCTAGTGGGGACCGTGCAGGCAAAGGATATCTCACTTTGCAGCTTGGCCCACGGACCACCTCTGCCTGTCCTGATTGCCTGCTAGTGGGGACCGTGCAGGCAAAGGATGCCTCACTTTGGAGCTTGGCCCACGGACCATCTCTGCCTGTCCTGTTTGCTCCTCCCCCTCTCTCTCTTTCTCTCTCTCTCCATCTCTGTGCACACCTGTGTGCATGCACATGCATGTGGGAACCTCCCTCTCCACCCACACCCACCCACACCCCACTGCTTCTCCTGCTGCTTTTCCTTTCTAGACCCAACACCTGTGGAGAAGCCTGCTGCCCCGGCTGGGCCCTGGCGCCCAAGACGGCCAAGTGCACGAAAGGTAAGGTGCCTTTGGAAGGGAGGGGGTGGCGTGTGTCTCCCTGGGCAGGTCATTCTTTCCTTCCGCTTTAGCGAAGCTGCAGGATCCGAGAGAGGGCCAAGAGAGAGGGCCAAGGGCGGCTGTCTCCAGAAGGATTTCCAAAGGGACCCGGCGGGGGGGAGAGACAGAGACGATGAGGCGTTTTGGGGCCCCCGGAGAACACCTGCATAGACTGGAGTAGGCGACCCCCTACACCAGGGGGGGCAAGGAAGCCAAAGCAGGATTCCTGCTGGTGTGGCTTCCCCAGAAGCTGTGGTTCGGGGCCAGCGTGCGGCTTCCCACGGGGTGCAGAAGGTCCCATTGTGATTCTGATGCAGCCACAGGACTCCTCCAAGGATCTCGGGCAGCGCAGCCGGCACTCTTCCGACATCGGAGGCAACGGGCTGCTGTCCACAGAAAAGCCATCTCATAAATTAAAGCTGAAAAGTTGATTTGTTGGATGGGTCGATGATACCTTGAGAGCAGTTTCCTACGATGGGTTCCCCTGATGGTTTGCTTTGGCTTGACTCTGGTGACTTGGAAGGATTGCCCGGATGGAGAGAAAGAGAAAGAGAGAGAGAGAGAGAGAAGCCAATGCAAAAGAAAAGGAGGAAGGGCCCTGGGATAAGGGATCTGGCCCGCGGAGTTTGAGCCTAGGTGAGGCGAGCAGATGTAGGTGCGTCATTAAAGGGGTGCTGAAGTAGATACAGAAGAAGATAAAAGAGAGCGGGTGCACAAAACGGGAAGGTTTCTCAATGGATCCTCACTGGATCTGCCGCAAGAGCACAACACAGCTGCCCTTCTGGGAATTTTTCCCAAATGCAGGATGAGGCCCAAATGTCCTTTCTCTCCGCCCCCACCCCACTCACCCCCAGCCGCCTGCGCTCTCCTCTTCCCGGTGCCCTAAGCTGCCTTGCATGCCCACCTTTGGTCTGCAGGGGGCAGCCGTCGCCTACATCCCGGCCACCTCTTCCCTGGCCAAGGCTTCCCTCTGGAGAAAGGAGCAGTGTGAAGCCAGCGGCCTCTGCATACCCCTGCCAGGCTACCCTTCCTCCAGCTAGCCTGGGGTTGTCAGCTACTCCTAACGGGCAGAAAGGGGTTCAGGGTCTCCCGGAAACAAGCTGGGCCATCTTTGGAGGGGCTGGCACAGGCTTCGAACTCGGGGCCTTCTGCATGCGATGACAGTTGAGCTATGGCCCTTCCGCCCCCCAAGGACCTGTGGGCTCCTCGGCCGGGTGGCCAACCGGCGGAGGGTTGGAGGGCTCGGGGGGTCTTTCAGAGGGACCCTCCTCCTGACCTGTCTCTTCTTCCCCAGCTGTCTGCACGCCTCGGTGCCGGAATGGGGGCCAGTGCAAAGCCCCCCAGCGCTGCACCTGCCCGGCGGGCTTCACGGGTCCTCGCTGTGAGCACTCTGTCGCCACCACTGCTGCTCCCGCCACCCCAACCCAGCTCCCCAGGGCTCCCCTGGAAGCAGTGGCCATTCGCTGGCAGCCCTTGACGTGAGTGGGAAGGGGCGGGAGGAAAGAGGCTGCCTGACTCCCTCTTCCCGCATACATCCCCGAGGGGACCCCTTAGCTTGCTTGGGGTGCCCCCCAGGGGAAGGAGGAGAGGAGGCACTCTTGTATGGGCTGCTCAGGGAAGGTTCTGCTGGGAAACATTGGCAAACAAACCCAGAGACTACGAAGGACGGTTTTTGGAGCCGACCGGTAAACGGAACAACCAGGTGCCAAGACTGGGTAGCCTTCGCCTGCGGAGTTCTAAACAAACTTGGAAGGGAAGTGCTGCCTGTTTAAAGGAAAACGTGTGGCTTATTGCTACCATCTGCTGCTTGGCCGGAGGACTGGGTACGTGGGCTGCTCATGTACTCGGGACAGGCAGGCACCTCACCCCAACATTTCTGGGTCTGCTCCCTGTCCCTGTTGCAAGCTGTCCTTGAGTGAACATTAGCCAGTGGAAGGGGCCCTTCCTGGCCTTTTCAGCAGGGAAAGGGGGGGGTTCCTACCCTGTGACATCACAGACTCCTAACTCTTAACCCTTTCTCACAGGCTTGCTGAACTCCAGGTGGTGCTTCAGAGGCGCAAGGCTTTGGGTCCTTCAGAGAAGATGGCCACGATCCTGGCACAGCACCTGGCTTCCCGACCCGATGGCGGTAGCAACGGCCCTCCCGGACACGGACCCCCAGCCACACGAAGGCCCCATGGTACAGGGTACAGGGTGAGGGGCAAGGCCCAGGGCAGTGGGGAGTGGGCTTAGGGGGTGTCAGAGAGGATGCGGGGGGGCCCCTGCTCTGTTAGGTAAAGGCGAGCAAGAGGGACACGGCCAAACAAGATTTCTTGGGAGCTGTGTAGATGCTTCTTCTTCAAGGTGGAGAAGAAGTCTTTGATTCTGTGAAGGGCAACGAACTTTTCTAAACTTTGCAAAGGGGGGGGTGTTGAAGGAAGGAAGGAAGGAACTCAAAGTGCCATGGCTCTAGGCACCTAGAAAAGGATGAGCGAGCTCAGAGAGACCACTATGGTCTGTAGCCTTGTCATTTTAGTGGGGGGGGGGAATGTGCCCCCTTTGCCCAGTCTCGGGTGTGGGGAGAATCTGTGGTGTAGAGCTCCCGCCCAGCTGGCTTCCTCTGCCAGAAACTGAAGTATTGGATGGGTGGGTGGTGGGTGGGGTGTGGAGAGAGGTTGCCCCACAAAACGGCAAGTGAACGGAATTGCAGGCATGAGCTTTGGAAGACGTAGATCCCCCCCCCCCGTGCTTTGATTTCCTCCTCCCTCTCTCTCTCTCTCTCTCTCTCTCCTTCTTCCTTCCAGCAGTTCCAGTTTTTAGAAGGGTTCCCATGTCCGGCGCAATCCCCATCCCCCTGGATCCGGCAATTGTTCTATGCGCACCCCACCCCCACCCTTGGCCAGCTCCTTCCAGATGATGTCAGGTTGGGTTGAGATGAGAGAGAGAGAGAAAGAGAGAAGATGGGGAGGAACAGAGGTGGTGGATGGGGGGGAAAGAGCTCTGCTTTTTCACCACCTCTCCCCCCCCCAATACACACACACACACCGCCCACAATCCTGTTTCCTCCCTAGAGAGGCCATCGGGGAATCTCCGCCTCTTTTTGCTGCCTGGGCCTGCTTTCCAAAGGCCATCCTGGCGGGAAGGGAGTGCGATGCAGTTTGCACACACAAACACAGGCAGAGACCCAACGTTTCGTGGAGTTCCCTGGGAAGGGGGTCCCACCAACAGCTTCCTTGCACCTCTTTCCCTCCCCCCCCGTTACTTTTCCCATTTGGGGAGAAATCTGCCTTTGGGGAAAGGGGAATCATTTTGGGTCGGACAGGATTAGCCCAAGTTGGAGAAGGCCTCTCTGTCCGGCGCTGGGCACCCTCTTCTGAGCCTTTTCTCCCTTTGGCGCAGAGGCTGTTTCTCCCCACCTGTGCTGGCTGGGGTTTTGTTTTGCGGGGGGGGGGCGGGGGGGAGGCTTCTCTTCGACTGAGAACAGCTGTTTTGGGGTGGGGGAGAGCGCTGGGCGATCTGGCCAGAGTCCAAGGGAAAGCTGCAGGGAGCGGAATCCTCCATCAGGTTGGAGGGAGGGGAGAAAAAGAGGGGGGAGTCCCTTCCGTGGCTCACCCCCCCCCCGCTTTGCAGGGAGAAAAGGGGCTTTGAAGTCCCGGCACATCCCGTCGGAGGGGGGGCGTTTGAGGAGGGGCCTTCCAGGCAGCGACGGGAGTGGACCCCTGTTTTTCTTCCCGGTCCTGACGGTCGGTGGGGAGGCACAGCAGACCTTGGAAATGAGGATAAGGAAGGGCTCCCCGCAGGTCTCCGCCCCCGACCTCCCCGCTTTGCAGGGAGAAAAGGGGCTTTGAAGTCCCGGCACATCCCGTCGGAGGGGGGGCGTTTGAGGAGGGGCCTTCCAGGCAGCGACGGGAGTGGACCCCTGTTTTTCTTCCCGGTCCTGACGGTCGGTGGGGAGGCACAGCAGACCTTGGAAATGAGGATAAGGAAGGGCTCCCCGCAGGTCTCCGCCCCCGACCTTCTGCAATGGGGGAG